ATTTTTGGCTAAATTGCACGATAAGACAGGACTTTGTAGTAAACACTGTAAAATCGTACGTACCGGTTTTCTTGGTTGTTCTAGCGGTGAGAATTCCTCTATTGGTGTAAATCGATCCCACTTCCGACATCCATGTCACAATTTTTCCATTTAAACTCTTTATTCAATAACGCAACAGCTACTACATGACAACATGGGCGAAATCAAAATGGCCGGTCCGATACCACGTTTTTTCCCACAGGTCCGATGGGAGCGCGTGGTATGACGTAATATGACACAGGGTACAATTTGAGGTAGCTGGAAACAAAGGTTTTGAAGCCACACTTGAAAAAGACTTGATAGGTAGAAAGTCTCGAGCGTTTGGAACAATTTGATATATAATTTGTGGAAAAATCACGCAATTTTAAACGACATCGACTCAAAACGTTCCTCGAGTCGTGGCTTTCGAGGTCATAATTTGCATCCTTAAGTAACGGGCTTCGAGCACGCTTTTAAATATATCTTTTTTCCCTTTCGATGAATTTTTTTAACTTTTTTTTTGCAGGCATTAGTTAATGTATACATGTAGAACCATTTGAGTTCTCTGTCAATGTGATTTTCCTGTCTGTTACCAAAATGGTACTAATATAATGACTACGTACTTTTGGTTATTGTGATGCTAATTGAAAATACAAGAAAATGTATCACATGTAACTGAGGACAAACCATCATCCTTTTCACATATTTTTTCCACAACACAAAGAAATACTTTGGGAAAGTTTGTACAATGTTTTGTAGTTGAAAAACCAAATATAAAACATGCCATTTACTGATTTTGTCCTTAAAGTACATCTATACATGTATAACATTGATGACTGTTCACGCAAATTCAAACATTGTGGTTTTAAAAGCAACATTTTAATAGTCCCACAGAAAGGAACTGCAAATCACTGCATAACACATCAGTGAATTAATAGTACTTGTAAGTATAGTGCGAAATTGTTATGTAATTTGTAGTAAGATTACCAAGAAGACTTAACTGTTGTGAAAAACATCAACTTTCTTATTCATAATTAACTTCCCCTGACTGCACTGATAACCACCAATTGATTGAATTGATTGAAAGCCAGAAATTAATTTCCGCAGACATCTGAGTTTCTCCTCACCAGCATTACATAATCCATAAAATAAGTTATAGGACTGTTGCTGGGTGAAGTCAGAGGGCCTTTGTACACTGGCATCAAAGAGACTCTTAAATTCATCAGGAGTGAGGGTTTGCTCAATTTTATTACAAAGCAGCTTAAAGCAGACTTCCTTGTTCTTAGTGACATCTAGGAACTCCAAATTCTTGTGACCTTCAGCAAATGAGTCTATCTCAAACTTCCTGGACAAGATTATTTCACTCTCCATTAGGTTTTATACAAGATGTGCCACATTCTGATCTGTTATATTCTTGGTTATTGGCCAGCGAGAGGCATTTATCACTGACCAGAAGGACTCAGAGGAAGGATGGTTGTGAAGGACATCAGAAACATCTCCTTCCTGCAACTTATCCAGCAATTCATGCAAAACAGCAGTTTCTTCAATTAAGAGGAAAAAAAAATGAAAACCTATCAGAAACGTTCCATTATCACTTTATATGCCTTATGGGTTATAAGAGGAAATAATTCACTAACCATTTGATTCTGTTTATGTCAAAGCTCTATTAAGGAAATGACCATTATTTTTGAGAAAGGGTGGGGGAGGTTGGGCAATTTTTTTCTGAGCTAAAAATAATTTTTTGGGGTCAGGTTGTGCGGGAATTTTTTTTTTGGTGGTAATTGCCCAACCCTCCCCTCAAAAAATAATAGTCCATCCCCAAGCCCTGTCTCTAACAAGCTCCTTGTTAGGAAGTATAATTTTATTAATAACCCCCCTCTCTATAAACCAGCCTCTTCCCTATAAGAAGTGTACAAAATTGAGTACATTCCAATGTTTTTGTGACCATAAATGTAACAAAAACTGTAAGTACACTAAAGTACCTGCATGTGCCTCTGAACAGCAATTTCTATTTGTTGTTTGGGGGAATCTGGAAACATTTCAGACAGTTGATCCACCCATAACCTTTGATTGTTTTTTACTCCAAATAAATCACTGTTTAGAAGACACAAAAAAATTGAACTTTCACACAGTTGAAGATAAATTTTCATGTACTTTTATGTGGGTTACTACCTGGAATCTCACGACAAGTTCAGAGTCTTTACTTCATTAATTCTTGCAAATAGTTTTTGGAGCATACTCATCCTGTATAAACAAGGATCCAGAAATGCCAATTGAAGTTGATACTAAAGGGTGTTCAATGTAATATTACTACTTTTAACTTACCAATTGGCTTAGGAACAGCAATCTTCAGATTTGAGCCACTGCAAGATAAATTTTAGCCATGACAACTAGTTGGAAGGACCTACACAAAATGACATTCACTAGAAATTGCAAAGAAAAGCCAATGCAATTTAAACAACATTGCATTCGTCAGATAATTCCTTTTGCCAAAGGCCACTGTTGTTGTAAATTCAATCATACTGTAATCTTTCACTGCATAATCAATTTGTAACAAAAGAATGAACCATGAATCTTATCATATTACTAACAAAGAAAGTTTAATGACAACAGTAAATTTGTTACATTCACAGGAAGCAAGCACACTTGCTGCTGCTTTGTCAAAATTAAAGCCCTGTACACTCCCCACTCCATCAGTTACCAAGGTTACAACATAACTACAGGTGGGGGAAAAACAGTATTGGTATAAAAATTAATTTAAAAAACATGTCTGACATTTTGAAAAGTTTTCTTCCTTTCTTACAAGGGATTCATTTATAAAGGAAAACATTTAGAAATGTTCTATGCAACCCAATGATGCATATCAAAACAAAGATTTTTTGATATTTAAGTCTTTACACCCTAACATCAATGTGATGTTAGGTTGTGACATTACAGTGTGTATTCTTCAAACTGTTCTCTATACATTACCTGTGGTGCTTACAAGAAGAATTTCTTCAGCTATCAATAGGTTCAGTGTGTATTCTCCAGACTGTTCTCTATACATTACCTGTGGTGCTTACAAGAAGAATTTCTTCAGCTATCAATAGGTTCAATGTGTATTCTTCAGACTGTTCTCTATACATTACCTGTGATGCTTACATGAAGAATTTCTTCAGCTATCAATAGGTTCGGTGTGTATTCTTCAGACTGTTCTCTATACATTACCTGTGGTGCTTACAGGGAGAATTTCTTCAGCTATCAATAGGTTTGGTGTGTATTCTTCAGACTGTTCTCTATACATTACCTGTGGTGCTTACAAGAAGAATTTCTTCAGCTATCAATAGGTTCAATGTGTATTCTCCAGACTGTTCTCTATACATTACCTGTGTTGCTTACAAGAAGAATTTCTTCAGCTATCAATAGGTTCAGTGTGTATTCTTCAGACTGTTCTCTATACATTACCTGTGTTGCTTACAAGAAGAATTTCTTCAGCTATCAATAGGTTCAATGTGTATTCTTCAGACTGTTCTCTATACATTACCTGTGGTGCTTACAAGAAGAATTTCTTCAGCTATCAATAGGTTCAATGTGTATTCTCCAGACTGTTCTCTATACATTACCTGTGGTGCTTACAAGAAGAATTTCTTCAGCTATCAATAGGTTCAATGTGTATTCTCCAGACTGTTCTCTATACATTACCTGTGATGCTTACAAGAAGAATTTCTTCAGCTATCAATAGGTTCAGTGTGTATTCTTCAGACTGTTCTCTATACATTACCTGTGATGCTTACAAGAAGAATTTCTTCAGCTATCAATAGGTTCAATGTGTATTCTTCAGACTGTTCTCTATACATTACCTGTGGTGCTTACAAGAAGAATTTCTTCAGCTATCAATAGGTTCAATGTGTATTCTCCAGACTGTTCTCTATACATTACCTGTGGTGCTTACAAGAAGAATTTCTTCAGCTATCAATAGGTTCAATGTGTATTCTTCAGACTGTTCTCTATACATTACCTGTGTTGCTTACAAGAAGAATTTCTTCAGCTATCAATAGGTTCGGTGTGTATTCTTCAGACTGTTCTCTATACATTACCTGTGGTGCTTACATGAAGAATTTCTTCAGCTATCAATAGGTTCAATGTGTATTCTTCAGACTGTTCTCTATACATTACCTGTGATGCTTACAAGAAGAATTTCTTCAGCTATCAATAGGTTCGGTGTGTATTCTCCAGACTGTTCTCTACACATTACCTGTGATGCTTACATGAAGAATTTCTTCAGCTATCAATAGGTTCGGTGTGTATTCTTCAGACTGTTCTCTATACATTACCTGTGGTGCTTACATGAAGAATTTCTTCAGCTATCAATAGGTTCAATGTGTATTCTTCAGACTGTTCTCTATACATTACCTGTGTTGCTTACAAGAAGAATTTCTTCAGCTATCAATAGGTTCAATGTGTATTCTCCAGACTATCATTACCTGTGATGCTTACAAGAAGAATTTCTTCAGCTATCAATAGGTTCGGTGTGTATTCTCCAGACTGTTCTCTACACATTACCTGTGGTGCTTACATGGAGAATTTCTTCAGCTATCAATAGGTTCAGTGTGTATTCTTCAGACTGTTCTCTATACATTACCTGTGGTGCTTACAAGAAGAATTTCTTCAGCTATCAATAGGTTCTCTGGTTGGTGATCCTTTACTCTTTTCTCATAACCTTGACATTTGATTTAGCAGTGATCCTGTTAGAAGAAATTAGATACCAATCACTCTTAAGGGATGAAAAGGATTAAATACTCCATTGATGATAATCATGGTTATATGCATAGTTGGAAAATGCATGTTAAATTACTTTTTAAAAGAGTGGTATTTTTACATTTCAACCAGCCCATCAAAACCTACATAAATATCAATTCAGAATTACATTTAATACTTATTTGATGAACTCACATTTCTCCCCCCTTTAGTGAAAAGACCAGTTTGTCTGATGATATAAACAAAGTCTGAGCACCATCCAGGGTGATCACCACGCCCTCTTGGACCTCTGAAAAATACAATAACTTTCTTGGCTACACTCACCATGACAACATACATAGAGTGCAAATCAGAAAAAACAGCATTGGCTTAACCATTTAACTCCCAACTCTACCCTGTAAAAGTATAAATAATGGAGAAAACTCCTTGACTTGGATTCTTTGTCATAATTATGGCAAGACTTGTTCTTTGGTGTATGCATATGTTCCTTACAGGAGAAATACCAACAAATTAAATAAATAAATAAAGTTAACTTTTTGTCACTAATAATCAAGAGTGTTCACCAAAACATGTATCAACTAAAATGAGTTGTTGTGGCCAGGGCATCTAAACCTTCGAAAACATATGCTGTTATATTTGCTCATTAAGGTGAATGTCAAAATCAATGTCAATGAAAATGGAGACTATGGCTGGTGTCTGTGTTGATAAGGATTATTCCTCCAAAAATACTTCCACAATGCATAAAGGAACTTTGCTTGTTTAAGCCAAAAAAATGGCTTTATCAGTTTCACTCCACATGCAAGTTTGGATAGGCAATTCACCCTCTATGTCATGACCTCTGGTAATAACGACATGTGCCTCACCTCATGGGAGAAGTATGCTTTAGAAACTACAGGATTTGTATCTTTACCAACAAAAAGTATGACAGAAATTACTTCTTATCATGTTCTGAAATTCTAAGAACTTAACTATCCAAAATATGTCTCTGAAATTGTAAAATTTGCTTAAAATTTGACTTCCAACAGTGGGGTCATTTTTCAAACAACTCAGCAACCTGGCCATACATGCCCAAATGGTGAGAATCATCTTATGCAGTGCACAAACAGCCACTGCTTGGGTGATCTAGAATTCTGATTGTTCAAAAAGATCACCAGGGAATGAAAAAGGTACATGTACAAGGCTTTGTTATGTTAAGAGTGAGCAGCTAGGTTACTACTAAAACAGAACATAATGAAAACAAACATTTTGCAGGTCAGAATTTTAGTAGATTCTCCTCAATTTACAGAAATTAGTTCCCACAGAGAAGTACATGAAACACAACACCACCTTCAATGGCAAAAATTACTTCCTAACAGAAATTTCAGACATCCTGACCCTAAAAAGTGTTTCCACAAAACACAAACAATTCCTAATTGCCAATTTGAAAATAAAACTCCTTAAAAAAACTCTGAAGTTAGGCCATACACAATCTCCATTGCTCAGAAGGTACAGATTTAACCAATAAACATGTACCCTGTAATAACTGTGAAAGCTGAATCAAGAAGAAACTCAATCTATGGTCTAAAAAGTGTGGCCATCACTTAAATTTGTTTACCTCACCACTGCATACTTTGTGTCTCAAGAGATGATTGTAAAATTAACAAATGAGTGACTGTTCTGAACTGAAAGTTATTACTTTTAATGTTAGTTTTTTGCCCTGCAATGGGGTCATTATTGAAAGAGAAGTTGGAACAGTTAATGTAATGCTTACAGACTGCACATTGTTGTTGTTTTTTATTTCTTGTTGCCAAAAGTTGATGATATTCAGTGACATCATCACATCACTTACCTGGCTATGACCAAATTTAATTATACTTGGCAGATCTATACACCCATCTACACATCTTCAGAGTAAGTTCTGTGATGCTTTTTGAATATATTGTTACAAAGATCAGGTCATTTATGCACATATATCATACCTTGCTGTAAAAGTTCCTTCCTGCTCATGTTCCTCTAATGCTCCTTCTTGTCTAAACAGTAAAACCACAATATGTGTGCCATAGATAAGCATCACTGCACAGTGTCAATCAGGATCCACACACCAAAGGAGGCCAAAAATACTCTTGATTACAACTCTGTAGTGTGATACAAGGAATAAAAAATGACTGTAAAATTGGGAAAGTACCATCCATCACATTATCTATCATGTGAATTCATGTTGCCATTTACAGAGGAGGAATATTAGGAATGACAATGACTTGAATAAAGTTGTACAGACCCAAGTTATTTTCAAGTTTTGGAGCACAGATGGCTTTGGCCCCAAAACTTTCATTTACTCAGGTCCTTGAACAACTTGGTAAGTATAGTTTATACAAACTAAAAGACCTTGTTGTTTCATGCTATGGATGGAAACCAGGATAAGCTCCAGCCAGATGAGTCTCTTGGCTCTAGTACAGAATTTTCTTAACAATAGCTTTTATTTGAATTATAACCATTCTCGCTATGAAGACAACATTTTGTGATCAATTTAAAATTTTTGCTGGCATTGTACAGGTTTCACTAATAAATTCTTCTCTCTTGGTTATTTTGTTGTCTTCAAAGAAATGCAAACTTTTTGTCTTCTGATCATGAGTGCCTGGATCATAATCCACCACACCAAACTGCACACATAATAAAATGACACTTATCAAGGAACACTTCAAAGAATCCAAATTTAAACATTTGGACATCATGTTAGATATCAAGGCTAATGTGTGCACCTTGACTTAAATTTATCTTTTTTACCTCAGTCTACTAAAATCAATGGCAAAGAAGTAAAAGTGGAACAAACAATGACATAAAATGGAAAATCTTTCTCATCTGATACATTTCATTTAAAGTGCTTCATGAGTAATGTAATTTAATACAGGTCTTGTTAATATCTTAGGATTTAACAGGTGACAATTGAATCTTTTGGAAATATTAGTTTATTGTTACATGCCTATTAAGGTTTCTCTTGCCAATTAATTAAATTCTCAGTGGCTGATTACAAATCAGTTAGTTATTAATTTATTTTAAAGAACATTTTATCAAAATTAATGTTGACCCTTATATAAACTTAAGGTCCACTACATGATGTAAATAACATTCTAAATTGTAGAACATTTCTCCTTTAAATATGAATTGTTCATTATTCAAAAGTGACAGAATCTATGTTAACCCTTTAACTCCCAAGATCTCATTAGTAATTCTCCTTACTGTCCGCCAAATGATTCTCATTATGTTAGTTTGAAGAATTTGGTACTGGATCAATTAGTAATCCCATCATTGATATTTTTCTTTAATCTCATCACTTGTCTGCATGATATTGTATTGCTAAAGTAAGGAGAAATTCTGTCTTGGTCACCCACAGAGGTTAAAGGGTTAATCAACTCAAAAGGCTTATTCTTCATTTGTGTAAACCCCCACAAAAAAAACAGTCATTGATTTTATTTAATACAAACTTAATATTTAATTGCTTAAACTTCAAGAAGAGAATACCTTGGCACCCTTAAAGCTCAATAGCAGTGAGTCCCTTGAATTTCCAGCTGACCTAACAGCTTTAAGACATTCTATGTTGCCAAACAAAGAATACTGACTGACAAGCTCCAACTTCCTTCTCTTTGTAGTACCATCTAAGTAAAGTAAACCACAGGTGACCCAATCTTGCAAAGTGAAACTCTTGTATATGAGCAATTCAATTGACCATTACATTGAAAGGTGGACATGTCTTAAAATGTTGGTAACTATCTGCATGTAAACCTACATTTACAGTCTCCTGAGGGGCTAATCCCCCCCCTCCCAAACCATCCCCCCCCCAAAAAAAAAAAAATTAAAAATTGAAATTAAACTACCTGGAAGTAATAACATGGAAGCTTGAGAACATCTCTATCTCTACAGCATGTCAGATATTGGTCATTTTTTGGGGGGATCAAATTTGCTGCAATCAGTGTTAAAAATCACCAAGTGTGCCAGCTTAAGTTACAAGAAATATTCATCATATTCCTCTCTATATTTGAGCAACTTTCTACTCTCCAAATCTGGTGCTTTTCTTTGAGGCTGGAATCTGATTTATTTGTTGGTTACAGGTTAACTTACGAAAGCTTGTTACAAGTACATCTCACCCTTGATAACCCAAATAAATACTGATACCTTAAGTAAATACTGACCTCCTGTCTTGTCTGATGATGCTGATTCCTGTTGAATTATGCTAAAATGAAGACATCATACATAAAAAAAGTTCAATAACAATTAATTGCCAAAGGCTACATGAACATTACCAAATAGTTAAACAGAAGGTAGAGACCCAAGGCATTAATACCAAGGCATATAAATAAAGCGTGAGAAAACAGCCATTTCATTTACCAACGATAGTCAATTCCCTTTGCCAGCCCCTCAGCCGCCATGTTGTTTGTTTACCTCAAATCATTTTGTTTTGAAATTTGATATACGTATTTTGATTTGACCTCCTAAACAATATATCCTTTTCTGGGTACCAACTAGACAGCCTGAGAAGACCTTTAACCACTAGGAAAAAAAGAGACGTCGGAAATAGTTTAACTGCCTAGGGAATTTCGCTTTCAGATAATAGTGCATTTATGTCTACACCTGATATCGAGCGAGATATTTTCAATAGTACAACAACTGAAGTCCCCATTAAACGATTCACGGAGCCCGTCTCCTACCTCGCCTTGGGTATAAAACTCGCTGATACGAAGCTGTGATGTTCCTGCCACAACACGATTGTTTTTCAGCTGGTGAAAAAGAATTGAAAGTACTCGCAGTGTTCGATTCCTGTCGGAGGGTGTGTTTGTTTATAAATCGCATACATCCTTTGCAAAATAATAATAATAATAGAGAAATAATCTCCTGCAAATAACTGAAAGCTATAGCAAGCAAAAGGTAACCGAAGAAGTTCAGTAACAAAAAGGCATGAAATGGAATGCCATATTCCTCCTGTTTGTGAGAAGAAATCTTCCAGGCCTTCTGCTTTGACACCAGGCCTCTTTGGGAGATTCCGCCACTGAGCGTCATTTCCATGGAAACGATTTCTGGTGCATAAAGTTCTCAGTCTTGAAAGAAATGCTCACCGACAGCAACAAAGTAGTTGGAGACTAAGAAAAGAAAAAAAAAAGAGGTCATGAATATAGAATCTTGGTGCACCGTCGAACTCGACTCTAAGCAAGACTGGCTGCGAACTTTAAAAACGTAATGAGAATCAGGAATGTCTAATTGTTTATTTCGAGCGCTGGGAAAGAAAGCCAACCGACACGTGTTCGTTTTTCATCTGACAAACAAACAAAAAAGGTATGTTTTATTTACGTTTTAAAAAGAAATCCACCAAAGCAAATTCAGTTCTTGCTCTTGGCACGCAACTAACTCCTCGTTGTCGGAGACTTTGATTCGTGCGTGACACATGTCAAATGATGAGTGTGAACATGGCTACCGAATCGGGCGCTAGACAGAGAGATTTTCAAAATGTCTTTTATGCTACCGACGTAAAAGAAAGAAATAAATTGTTAGGTAAGGACCTACTAATTTCAAAACTTAACGAAGAAGATGATTTCAGGCCCGGGATACTTCTTGATATTCGTTATGACATGTTGGCTTATTTTGTACACAAAGGATTCCATGGCGAGAAGTGACTCTGCTTTGGAAGTACAAGGTTAGCTTTCAATTCGTCGATCGATGAGCGTTGTGGATAGAGGTATTTCAAAATTTGTTGAACGAAGCAAAAGGTTAGCTATTACTATCTTACAATGGATACAGGTCTGGTTACGGTATTAAACACTGTTACCTTAGCCACATATCAGCCTTTCTCTTTGTGATCGTGATTGACTTTCTGTACAATTATCCCACACTGTCTAAACTCATTCACTGTCTTGTGCCATTGACATGTACAAAATATAACCTACAAAATTTAGAACTTGTCGTATTCAGAACGAACGATTTGATCCTATGCAAGAAATATGTCACCAAAATCTTATAGCTGAAAAAATTATGTAGTTGAATGTTGAAGACAGAATGCAAAGTTCTTGTATGACATAAGATCTTGTTCAAACGCTTACTATTTTGCTTGTGTAAGATCTGAGTTTGCAAATTTGGAGATTTAATCGATAGATTTGGACTTGAAGGTGGTCCATGTTTTAAATTTTTCTGCGGACCTAAATTAAGTCTTTGTTGAGTCATCTATGCATTTTGTTTGGAGCAATATTGGACAAAAATCTCCCTTTTTATTCCAAGACTTAATGCTTAAGCTACTGATTAGTTATAAACCATCCTGTATACTTTTCTAGAGAGTGAAATCTTATGACTTGTGTAGCAATGCAGTTTAAGTCAACTAGAGCTCTCAAGTCCATTTGCTGGCAAAGAGTAAGATTTCATGGGCATCACCTATCAAGGGTGGAAAAGGGAAGAGGGTATGGGGGCATGTTCCCCTGGAAAATTGTAAAAAAATAAAATAGCTAAGTTGTGCATTTCTTTAATCTGAGAGAGAATTTTTGCTGTTAAGAAGTGTGCAAAATGAGTGCATAGGGAACAAGGAGTAAATTATATTTGGAAGGATAATTTTATAGGTTCTTAATGAAAGCAGCAGTTTGCTATCTCAAAATCAACAGAATAAATGCAAAACCTTTAAGGAGAGAGAAATAATGGCTTTAGCATGAGAGTGTAAGAATGAATTTGTTTGCATGAGTCTCACACCCAATGCATGAGACTGGAGAGTCAACTCAACACATTTAGCATACTACAGCATTTATTGCTTTTGTTTCGTTTATGTACCCAGTCAGTATGGTCATTTACAAGGGATTCTTCAATTCATGCCAGTTATTTATTAATGGTACTGTAAAGTGGGTAGGGAGGTTCAATATAAAAGGAAATAATAGGATGAGGGCTGGAAGAATAAAATAACATTTCAATATTCCAAAAGGAAAAAAATTTCCAAACTTGAATATGTCTGTTCTATCTTTAGAATGATGTTCACCAACCAAGTGTTAAGCACAAAATCAAAATCAAAAAGTTGAATTTAATACAATTAAAATAGAGGAAATATATTTTCAAGAGGGTGAAAAACAAAAGAGACAATTGTAATGTTGTAATCAATGCTGTCTCCACTGCCTTGGGTGTAAACTTCACCAATAACTATTTTGTTTTGATCAGGCAAACCCCTCAAGGAGGCTATAACACTGTTTAAACAACAGCTAAACAGAATTGCCCATCACTCCTGTGGAAAAAAACCTCAAGTCTATGAAAGATTTTGTTTTCATGGCATTATTTTAACACTACAAGCTGTATCAATTTCTTCTGACACAAGAAAGAGCTGATGACATCACCAAGTGTGAGCTGGTTGGTCTTAGCCACCCGTGGTTCCACAAGCTATGAGGGATGGTGTACTTAAGAGTGTTTGTGATGAAGAACAGAGAATAAAACACATTGAAGAGATGGAACAAAAATGCATCCAGGTATGTGACTGTGTATGCAACCATTGACTAGGTAGCAAGTTAACTTAAGAAGTAATGTCCATTCTAAGAAGTTGTACTGCCTAACTCACCTCAGAACCTTTCTTACTTGAATCAGTCTAATTTAATGTGTATCATGCTCTTTGTTAAGAATGACACATTTTACTGGAATAAAAGTGTAAACTTGTATATACAAAATCAAGCAAGGTTGTTTATGGTGGACTGGGACTGACAGGTAAATACTGTCTGTCCTAACTTTAAAGCCATCTGGAAGTACTGGTCATTAAAGAAGATGCATTCCCTCTAATGTTTTCTCAAATGTTCCTCTTTATTGGAGTAATTAGTGCTACAAAAGAAAACATAGTTAAGCACATCTGTTTCATTATGAAATGGGTGATCATTACACATTTGAAACTGTATTGTGACACCATATTAAACAGTCACCCTGTAACAAAGGGGTCAGTTGTCAGATTTTCTCCCCTTAATTACTGTACTGTAATTTTTACCTCTTTAAGTGGTCATGGTCATCCTTGACTGAGTCCCAGCTTCCTGTTTTTATTATCTTCTTCTTGCATGTGTTGAAAAGTCACTCAAGCAGAATCTCTCCAATAAAACTAGGAATAGTACTTTGAGTTTAAATGTGCTCAACATGTTGCAAATTATCTAATTCTTCTTAGAACTGTTGGGACAAATATTATGCACAAACATTACACAAGTCAATCGGCCCATAGATATGACCTAGAGGTCCAACTGATAGAAAATAGTAGACAGTAATTCTGCTTAAGTGTTCTGTTTTTATGCTATGTCACCATTTTGTTGATTCTGTTTATTGGTATTAACAAAGAGTCAATGCATCTTTTAGCAAGCTTTTGAGTAAACTTTAAGTTAAGCAATCAATTATGGCATAAAATAGCATTTTTTTACAGCATTTGACTGCTATTCTGTGGAAACTGTTTCAGTAGTGTCCTTGCAATTCCCTATGGGTGACTGCTTAATACAGGTTTGACTGTATGCTTTTTCTTCATCAATCACTGCTACTCAACACTGATACTATTCTCTTTACTATTTAGGAAAGAAATGAAGTCCAACAAGCTGTCCAGCAACTGGAGCAGCAGTTTTTGGAGTTTGACTCATCACCAGAAAACTTATCAGCAGAAAATTTAGCCACAATTGTGGCTATTATGTTACTGCTAAAGAGGCTGTTGTGACAAGTGCCACTATCAGTTATAAAATCAAAGAAATGCATGATTCTTTTAAATTCAAGTGCAAACGGGCCACTGTTAGTCAGGAGAATGACAAGGGAGGAAAAAAATCTGCAGCTTCTAGTCGTTGTTCCAAAGGAAATTCTGGAAAGTAGTGATCTCATTGCACAAGTATACTTTTCAGTTGTAAGTGTACTTTGGTATAATTTTTAACTTTCAGACAAGTTACTTTAGGGATAATTTCCCATCATTATTTATCATTTTATTTGACATTATGCTCTAATTATGTGTAGCTTTATGGACTCAGAGTTAACTTTTCTTCTTTTCAAACTTATGATTGATAATACTTTAAATTTCAGATGAACCTCTATTAAAACATCCACTGAATTTTTCTTTCCTTTTGCATGACATTATATTGTTGGGTTGTTGATTCTTAGAAGAAAATGTGCGTATGCAAAGGCTCAGAAAATTTGTCCACAACAAAATGAACATTTTTGGCATCACCTGGCATTTCTAAACAAATGGAGATATTTCTCCAAACAGGTTGAAATAAGGTTTTCTGTGGAACTGAGTGGAAACTGGAAGAAGCCCTGCCCTGCATAGGTGTCTCTGTTCATGAGATTTTCACTCTCAAGATCTCATTAGTAATTCTCCTTACTGTTTGCCATATAGTTCTTGTGATGTTAGTTTTGAGAATTTGGTATTGAATCAATTAATAAGCTAATTAATAGTTTTCTTTATTCTCATCACTTGTCTGCTTGATATTGTATTGATATTGTAAGGAGAAATTCTGTCTTGGTCACATATGGGAGTGTAAGGGATAAGTCCTGCAAAAATCATAAAAACTGGGAATGAAAGTGTTGAAAAAAAAATGAGAAAAAGTCTCAAGTGTTATGTTTTTTCTTAGCTGCAACAAGTGAAAATCTTTTTGAGGTTTCCTTGTTTCCTCTTCCCATTCTTTTTACATGTGGGATATATTTCATTTCTCTGATTTCTTTCCATTATTTAATTTTTGTGTGTGCTGAGGTCCAGTGATTTCATACATCTTGCTTTAAAAAAGGTTAATAGGTGCCCTTAAAGTAGCCAGGAACCTATTCAAGGAAATATTTTACATCAATTTCATGTCACTTGCATTCCACACTTCCTTAGATATTTTGATGTTGGTTTTAAGACATGGTGTTGAATTTTTTTTTTTTCAATGTTAAAAGAAGGAAGAGAAAATCATTTAATTTGAGATAGGGTAGGGGTTTTTTCTAAGGGCTGTTTATACCCTCCCCTTGAGGCAGTCTCTCTGGTAGATT